CCTTGTAGGCCTTGGCTGCAACTTTGCTCTTTATTCTGAGGTGAAACTACTGGAGGATTTTGAGCAGGGGCGTGAAGGGATCTAACTGTTTTTTTGTTTTTTTTTTTTAGAGATGGAGTCTCGCTCGGTAACCAAGGCTGGAGGAGTGCGCTGGCGCTATCTCGGCTCACTGCCACCTCCGCCTCCCAGGTTCAAGCGATTCTCCTGCCTTAGCCTCCTGAGTAGCTGGAACTACAGGCACCTGCCACCACGCCCCGCTAATATTTTGTATTTTTAGTAGAGACAGGGTTTCACCCTGTTAGCCAGGATGATCTCGATCTCCTGACCTTGTGATCCACCCGCCTCGGCCTCCCAAAGTGCTGGGATTACAGGCATGAGCCACCATGCCCAACCTTACACTTAACAATTTAAAGAGTATTATTTAACACTTTGTGCAGCCACAACCTCTAATTTTTATCTCAGCATCTGCACTCTGAGATTATATTACACGCCAAACATTAATGAAGCCTCTACTCTGGGCCAGCACTTATCTAGACATTAGGGATAGACCAGATAGCAAAAGCAGTGTTTCTTTGACTTATATATTCTAAAATGGAAGCAGATGATGAGCAAAGTCCTATATAAAAAAGTGTGCTCCTAGGAGTGGAACCCTGAGTACTCTTCCTGTATTAGGGCCTGGATATGAAAGGTGGAGCTGGCCACTACCTCTGTTCCAGTCAGGCCCATCCTGTACTCTGAACTATAAATTTGGCATGAGGGTCAGAGACCTACTTTCCACATTTCCCATCCCTCCCCTCAATCCTTACACTGAACATTTATGGAACAACTAGTAAACACTGCCAGGTGCTGAAGATAAAATTAAGAGTGAGAGTGGATCCCTGCCTGCCAACTTCTCGGGTGGCGGAGCTGATAGCACAGGAGAGGCCAAAAGCTCACATTCTTCCTATCTCTTTTTTTCACTGCCCATCCTTTCACCAGTGTCATCTTCCCCATGTCCCTGCTTGGGTCTTGGCCCTATTTCTCTGCTCTTTCCCAGTCTCCTACTCCCATGGATGATCATTCAATTCTATCCTAAAGGATTGAATTGAACTTCTTTAAAAATCTATTCAGCCAGTTTTATTACATCAGTCATTGTTTCACAATCGAGACTGATTCATGGTCAGAGATAAAATACACTGAACAATTTTTTTTTTTTTCTGTTTCTTTTTTTTCTTTTTTCTGAGACGTTGTTTTGCTCTTGCTGCCCAGGCTGGAGTGCAATAGTGTGATCTCAGCTCACTGCCAACCTCTGCCTCCTGGGTTCAAGTGATTCTCACTGCTCAGTCTCCCAAGTAGCTGGATTACAGGCAACCTGCCACCACACCTGCTGATTTTGTATTTTTTCGGAAGACGCGGTTACTCTCCAATGGTTGGTCCAGCCTGGTCTCAGAACTTCCTGACCTCAGTTGGATCCACCCCCCCTTCGTCCTCCCAAAGTGCTGGGATTACCAGGCAGTGAGCACCTGCCCAACCTTACACTTAACACATGTTAACAGAGTTTATTATAACACTTTGTGCCACCCAACCCTCTAATTTTGTATCTCGAGCATCTGGCACTCTGAGATTATGTTACACGCCAAACATTAATGAAGCCTCTACTCTGGGCCAGCACACTTATCTAGACATTAGGGAGTAGACCAGACTAGCAAAAGCAGTGTGTTCTTTGACTTATATATTCTAAAATGGAAGCAAGATGTGAGCAACAGTCCTATATATAAACACAGCATGGTGGCTATAGCACAATAAAATGTTATGTAGATAATATGAAAGCAGAGTGAAAGGGTTACAGATTGGTGGCCAGAGAACAGGGTGCTCTGATAGGTCCAGTGGTCAGAAAAGTTCTCTCTGAAAGCAGTAGGAGGAGTCAGGCAGCCAACTGGGATGACATCCTCTTGCAAAGGGAGACAGGGATAGAAGGTGCAAAGGCCTAATGAAGCCAGAACTCTTGATGGGTGTAGAATCAGCAAGGAAGACAGTGATGAGAGCACAGGAAAAATGGGAAGAGGCACAGGATAGAAGGAGGGCCTTGTAGGCCTTGGCTGCAACTTCTGCTCTTTATGTCTGAGGTGAAACTACTGGAGGATTGAGCAGGGGCGTGAAGGGATCTAAACTGTTTTTTTTTTTTTTTTTTTTTTAAGAATGGAGTCTCCGCTCCGGTAACCAAGGCTGGAGGAGTGCGCTGGCGCTATCTCGGCTCACTGCCACCTCCGCCTCCCAGGTTCAAGCGATTCTCCTGCCTTAGCCTCCTGAGTAGCTGGAACTACAGGCACCTGCCACCACGCCCCGCTAATTATTTTGTATTTTTAGTAGAGACAGGGTTTTCACCCTGTTAGCCAGGATGATCTCGATCTCCTGACTCGTGAGCCGCCCTCCTCGGGCCACCCAAAGTGCTAGGATACAGGCGTGAGCCACCGCCGCCGGCCTAATTTTTGTTTTAAAGGATTCTGTGGCTACTCTATGGAGAATATACTATAGGAAGAAAAGAGTGAAAGCAAGAAGTGATTAGTTGCAGCAGTCTGGGTGAGAAAGGCTGGAGATCAGGGTGCAGTGGTAGAAATGACAAGTCATGACTGAATTGGCAATATATTTGAAAGCAGAGCCAACAATTCCTGTCCGGCTCTAGGATCAGGGATCCGTTTAAAGTAGAAAAACAAAATTATTTAAAAACCAAAACATCTTAACAGTTCATTTTTAAT